CTGGCTTAAAAATCAGTTTTTGACTTATTAGAGTGTTTGACAATTATCAAAGTGACTTATTTTAAGTCAAAAAATGACTTATTTTAAGCCCAAAAGCTAAAAGCTAGGGGAGGGGAGCTTTTTTTTTTAAACTAAAAGCCCTTTTATGTTAACCAAGTATATTACCTTTTTTGCCCTTAATTCTTTTATACAATTTCCAAATTGCCCATATTGAATTATTTATTATTAATTATTTTATTATATTATTTTATTTTATTATTATTATATTATTTTATTATTATCATTATTATTATTATTATTATTTTATTATTATCATTATTATTATTATCATTATTATTTTATTTTATTATTATTATTTTATTATTATTATTATATTATTATTATTATATTTTTATATTATAATTATTATTATTATTCCTCTTATAAATAATTTGTGGTGGTAAAGAAATATGTGATATTTTATTATTATTATTATTATTATTTATTATTATCATATTTATATTATCATTATTTTATTATTATTATTATTATTATTATTATTTATTATTATTATTATTATATTATTATTATTTATTTTATTATTATTATTTTTTTTTATATTATTATTATTATTATTATTATTATTATTATATTATTCCTCTTATAAATAATTTGTGGTGGTAAAGAAATATGTGAATGATAGGAAAATATTATTACTTATGGATGTAAAATATAAATTAATTTTGTTTTAATTTTTTTTAAAGTATAAAAACCTTAAATTAATCAACTTTTCATCATGTTAACAACTTAAAGGGTATTTAAGACATTTTGATAAAAAAAGTGTTTACCAGCACTTATTTGCCAAACACATCAACAACTTTTTTTTCAACTGCAACACTTTTATCCAAACACATAACTACTTATTTTAAAAATAAGTTCCAGCACTTTGAAAAGTTACTTTTTAAAAGTTACTTTTTTAAGTCAATCCAAATGGGCTCTCAGTTGCATTTCTATAGCCTTAACTCAATCCATCTAAATAGCAGCAGGAAGATGGTAAGACACAGATTTAGTTGAATTGTAACGTTTCTGCAACAAGCAAAGATAAAAGGCAATCTGATCGGGTTTCTGTGATTTCTGTCTGTTATTGTAAACTCAACCATAGTTGTTGTGTTTTTTGAATATCTCTATCTTGTGTTATATATCATATTCCGTTGTCGGGAACCTTAAGGACAAAAAACATGTTACGTCTAATTCAACTTGAATTGTCTACTTGTTCAAGACTTGAAGCTGTAGTATGCTTATTCTGCTATGCACAATAATTCAACTATAAATCTTCAATTTCTTTTGCTTAATCTTTCAGTTCTAGACACAGCTATCATCTAGCAATAATGCTTTTCAGTAAGATAATGGTTTAACAAGGTGGATAAATTCCACAATTAAAGTGAATCCTGTTGACAGATCCACAAGAGAGTGTGCGTTAATAAACTCGAATGAGTTTCTTCTTTGTTGAAGTAAAGTATTCTATGCAGTTGATCACTGGCTGCATGTTCTCAAAGGAATTAGAGCTTTTGCTGCTCTCTGCAGTCTCTGTTTTCTGCAAAAGACCGAGTCAGGGGTTTCTTGGTTTATGATTTGGTTTTCTTTATGGGGTTTAGTGTTGTAGTAGCTATCATTGTGAGTGCACTGAAGCTACCTGGAGACGTGCACTAGATTTCGGATATAGGGCAAAGAACCATGGGTGGAAACCATTCATGGATCATCACTACTTTCTCTCAATGAGAACCAGATTGGTAAGATGGGGATCTAGTAGGCGTTTAGTTGTAGAAGTAGAATTCTTGTTCCTCCAGTTTGCTTAAGGAGTTAGTCTTAGTAATTTATGGGATTGAGGGACTTCACTTATTTTCAGCAGCCCAGTATTGCTCTATCGGAAGTCCATATACACTAGATTATGTCGTCGAGGAAGGTTAACATTCTATCCACTGTGTTTTGACATCTTCTAGTCTATACCAAAAATCCAAAAAAGAGATACAACCATGATTCAGAGTATGAGTGCTTTCACATATGCTCTAAAAAAACATCTTTGGTTTCTTTTCTTCCACATCTCTCACCAAATGCAGGCAAGGATCGTATTCAAGATTCTTCTAATCCTGTAATCCGAATTCCGAAATACAAGACCTCGTGTTTGTTAGCTGGTCAGAGGCAGCTCTTAAAAGATACTCTGTATTTAATTAAATATGATAAGGAGATCCTCTTGTTTGTTAGCTTGTTAAGAAGTAGAGAAGGTAAGAAATTCCATTTATCCTGTAATCCAAAATACAAGATTACCCATTGTCCCATTTCAATTTGAACCTGCCTCCAACCAGTCATACCCTCTCTACTCTGTCGACCGTAAGATGGATGTGGATGTTTCTTCAATTTTGTTTTGTCCTCACAAACTATTTTTTTTCTTTTCTATATTTGTTTCTATTTCTGCTAATATTTTTCATTTTCTTTTTGTGTGGTGGTTCATCATAAATTGATTAGTTTTGCACTGGTTGTGAGTCTGCTGCAACCCTACTCCTTTATCCGAGACGGGGATGGTAATAGAAGGAACTTGTCTTGAAAGACCTACAATCTCTTATAATCCATGTAGACATAGCAAAAGAGTAGGCCACAATAAAGTAACAAGATCTATATAGGCGATACCAATTAGTTCGGAATATGTTTAGCCATGTTAATACATTTACTTTAGGTTTTACTAGGAGTCTGTTGATCTTGTCAGAGATTTGTATATCAGTAGGAAATATAGGAACTTATGCTTTCAATTTTATTTTGTATTTTATTGGTTCAAGATAAGCTTAAATGGGTGATATGATCAATGAGGATTCATATAGTGATCCCAGCTTGCTTATGATTTAGATGCAAGTTGTTTGTTGTCGTCTTGTGTGTGTGTGTGGGATGCTCGTGAGGTTAAAAGGTACAAACACTTTTCAGGTTCCATGCTAAGGAGTATCCAGTATATGATAAGGAAGTCTTTCCTTGCAACATGGGCTACTGCCAAATAGGTAGGTCTGTCTGCATCTTAACCACTTCCTGTGAGATCTACTGAATGTTCAGAATTGGATTTTCTCAAACTTTATGTACCATCAGCATTCTTCAATCAATCAGTGTATTAGAAGGACAATAATGATGTTCTTTATACTCATGCTAGGTTTTATTGTTCTCAGGAACTAATGTTTCTTATGACGATTCAATGAATTTGCGTAACATATTGTGGCTAGCTCCATTAGCTAGCAACTCTTCAAATGAATGGTTAGCACCAGGTATGTGTCTTTGAGGTTCTTAAATTACACTTATAGTGGAATGTTTCCCAGTGCAGTATACTTTTTTTTTTGACAAAGGTAACAGTTTTGTGTATTAATCTTCAACACTAAAGGCTGGGATCCCAAATTTACATCATGAAGCTACATACAGTTGCGAGTACTCAAAACAAAACAAAACTAGAACCTACTACAACTTACAAAGAACCTAGGATATCTATAACAACTATAGGATCATCTACATACTCCAAATTGCACCAATAGCAAAAAGTGATTATGCAATTCGTTTTGATCCTGTGTAAGGGACTACTAATACTCTCAAAGCATCTCATATTTATTTCCTTCCATATGGTCCACCAAATCACTGCTGGGACAATTCTCCAACTGCTTTGGTCTGTACTGCCACTGCCTTCAGTGTTCCAGCTTTCTATAGCCTGATTTGCCCTTTGTGGCATGGTCCAGCTTATGCCCCTAAAGCTGGTAAATAAGTGCCACAATTGTCTGACCACCTTGCAATGAAGAAACAGATGGTTGATTGTCTCTGCCTGTAGCTCACAAAAAAAACATCTAGGACACATATGTATTCCCCTCTTCATTAGATTCTCCTGTGTTAGTACCGCCTCTTTAACTACCAACCAAGTAAAGACTGCCACCTTATATGGAATTTTGACTTTCCAGATAAGCTTCCAAGGCAAAAATCTGAGTTGAGTCCCCATTTGATTCAGGTTCTTGTAGGCAGAGCTAACTGTGAAGATACCTTTGCTGTGATGAATCCACGTAAGAGTGTCTTCTCCCTCTTTCAATCCTCCAAAATGGTCCAGGGTGCCATAAAATTCAGCTAGTCTATCCACCTCCCAGTGCAGTATACTTTACTGCACGGACCATATCAAAGATGCGGAAGCATCTCTACGACTTGCATTTTCTTATTTCTTTTTGTCTTTTTTTTTTCTTTGGGTGGGTGGGGATAAAGAGGACATTATGTTTGTAGAATCTAATGGAGTTCATCAACTATGCCTTAATCCCAAGCTAATTAGATCAGCTTACTTACAAATTACAGTTAATAGCTGCAGAAATGCAACTATAGTTTGGAGTTTAATGGGTTACCAAGATTCTCGAGAAATTTATGGGGCTGTTAGTAAACACTGTTCTGGCATGTATCACTGGGATAAGAGCTT